AAAAAAACTCTTCCATTGATGCTGCGGCCACGGAAGTTGATGAGCACCGAGGTGTGAACAGGATAAGGAAGGACAATTTTTTAGAAAGAAGGTTCGCAAACTTCCAGTTGAACTACAACCGTTTATGTTTTTCCAATCTATTTTGATTGTATTGCCCTGTTTTCCATATTCACAGTTTCTCTGATTTTTTTTACACATTTAAAAGGGATTTACAAAAAAAGTGGTAATATGATCAATATGGAAGATACATTTTGGGGTTCTATGGTGAGAAAATCATAAGAATTGTCCCCAACAACGTTTGTGGGAGAAGAAAGCATTAAATGAGTCCCCATGCGTGTAGAAATGTGATGTTCAGGGAATTCTGCCTTCTGCTACCACAGCCCCATGAATGGATATTCCTTGCCCCGAATTTTAAGTGTTTGTACGTTTTCTATCTCACAATCCTCATTTCCTTCATTCCCATAACCCTTCGATGTCCTGCTTCTTATCTTTTCCTTCCTCCCTGAACGCCAATCTTAAAATAGCACTGTCATCTATCATAGTCATAGTCATAAGTCGACTCATACACAAATAGGACATATCAGGAATAATAGCCCATATTCTGTAGTTCGCAAATAGTTTTTAATACACGTGAGCGAAAAATTTATTTTGAATTCTTGTTGAAAATGTACACAAATTACACTTCTCCCCACACAATTTTTAACAGTTTTTGACGTAAATAAAGACATTTTTCTCGATTCTCCTGTCCAGTGTTTTCTTCCGCGGTACAACCTCCTTCCTGCGCCCCACCGCCCTTGGGCGCGTCCAGCCGCTTCCTCGTCCGGGAGCGCGAGGGGGCGGCGAGCACCTGCCAGGCGAGCGACTCGACGGCGCGACGGCGGCGCCGCGGCCCGTGACGTCAGCGCCGGGACGCGGCTGGGGGCGGAGGGGCACGCCTAATGCCAAGGTCCCGGGGCATTGTGGCAGCCGTCGGCGCGGCGGACACCCCGTGACGTCACTGCCCCAGCTTCGGTTTTACTTCCAGAGCAGCTGCTCTGCCACGAGGCAATCGGTGCTCTCCGATGCTTAGATGTTACAAGAAACGGCCGCCAGAGTCGCTAAACCCTGCCTCGATTCCGGCTCCTGGGGCACTCCAGAGATTTACAGTCCTTTTTCATCCCTTCCAACAATCGGAAAAAATCTGGATAATTTCCGAGTCAATATTCTGGTATACGTTGATACTTTTTGCATCTATTGTTAAAACACGGTTTTGGCTACGAGTAATTTCAGTTCAAGAACTCTACTAGTCTGCAGTGGTTGTAAATTTGAAACACATAAGCGTGGTGTGAAGTGTTCAATCGTCTAAATTAAGGTTAGTAGAACACAAAGAGAAGGGAACAAATCACGACAGAAGTCAATTTAAATCGTGGGCCTATAAGTTCTCAAATAAAGGCAATGATGTACAAAGCATTTCCCCATATGCCATAAAAACGTAACCGCGAAAGTTGCAAAAGTATTTCGAAGAAAGTTCAACAAAGAAAAAGAGATAAACAGAAAAGAAGGAGAAGAGAAACAAAACCCAGAAAGGGAGACGACTGCGACCTTTGCCACCGGGAGAGCATCAATCGTCGTTAGGCACCGTCACGGACGCGACGCGGCCGCGAGATAGCGCCGGGGGTAGCGGCGGTGGGGAGGGGACACGACGGGTGACGGAAACAGGGACGAGGGGGAACAAGCGGAGGAAG